TTTTTTTGTAATTTTTATATAATCTTAACAAAATGATAAAGAATCATATATAGACCAACTTTTCCTTTTAAAAAGATATTATACCTTAAAAGGTTCTTCCTTGTATATTTTTTTGTTTTTTAGAAATCATTTCTAATACCAAAACTCATTTGTAAAAAGACTTGTAGATTCCTACAAGTGTGGAGCAAGAAAGCATGAAGATAAGTCAAAATTTAAGAATTACTAGTAAAATGATTATAGAAAGACTTGTGTATGCGTCTTACTGCAGCGTCAACGTCTCTATTTAAAGGCTAAAGCTTTTCCCTTTTTTTGTGTTAACTTCGGGGCTAAGCAATCCAAGGAAAAAACCCAAGGATCCATCCACCGAAACGTACCTTTGGAAATTAAGTCCAAAAGTTTAGTATTGTATTGGTATAGTACTTAAGAAAATTAAATGTTTTAAATATGGTGGGTTAATAAGTAGGTAAACTCTTAATATTATTTGAAAAGGTATTAAAATTGAGATTTATAAAAATTAATTTAAAAATAGGATGATGTTATAGAGATAACTTTTTTGTCTCACCTTTTTATATAACTTTCATATGTTATTAAATGAGTGGATGCATTTAATATCACGGGTCTCATATGAATTAAAAAAACAAATAATTTTAATGACACGTCAAGTTTTATAAAAAAATGAGATAAAAAAATTGTATAAAAGACATTTTCCTTAAAATTATTGTGATAGTAAATATAAAAAATAATATAAAAAATAACAAATATAAATTAAGTATATAATATATTACACAAATTTATAATTAGAGTGTCATCAGGATAATTTTCGCACACTTTTATTTTCATTTGATATATTAAATGGCACATCTTTACATTGTTATGATATATTGAAAATTTTAATTTTTTAAATATATTAATTTTAAATTTTATATTTTAAATCTAACCACTTAGTGTATAATATATATAGCTTTATATTAAATTACATAACAAAAAACAATATTTTTTATTTTTTAATCTACTTCATTTATATAACATATAATTTAAATTTACAATATCTTATTTTTAATAAAAAAAATTACTATAAAAAATTTTAAATTTTTTTTTTGAACATAAAAAATTTTAAATTATTAACACTTATAATATAATATTATATATAATTACACATAAAACATTTGTAGGCCAACAACCTAAATTATTTTTTTTATTGAAAATAAAAAATTTTAAATTTAAGTAGCATGTTATATAAATGTGATAAATAAAAAATAAAAAATAGTTATTAGTCATTGTACAATTAAAATAAAAAAAAAACATTTGTACATCCGTAATTATCCTACAGTCGGACATAACACTGTATCATTGTTGCAAATTTATCGAATGAGTTTTCCACCGTTTTACGGTGTAAGTAATTTCCTTTAGTTTTGCCGCGCACACAGTGCATTTTTCCCTCAACAAAAAAGAAAAATAAAAATTGAAAAAGAAAAAACGAAAGAGGTGTGGGAGAAGGGCATCTCTTTTTCATTGCCGGAACAACAGTGATTTGTTTCATCGAATATTTTGCTTTCTCCCCTTCGCATTTCTCCTCACTTTATCTATTTCAAACAACTTTCTTTCTTTGCCCTAGAGCTCCAGATAGAGAGTTGAAGAAACCCGTGAGTTTTTTGCTCTCTCTCTAATCCGGGTTCTAATTACTCTGTTTGCTTGCTTCGATTGAAGTATTGATTTTGTGTTATTACTGTTGTTTGTTTTGATCTGATGCTCTCTTTGTTTGATTTCGCTTTTTGAGGTATTTTTGATCAGTGGGTTACTTTCCCCTTTTCCATATATGTAAATGGTAGTTGCTTCCAGCTTTACTTTTAGACTTTGTTATGTATTTGCAATTTGCATACCCTTCTGGGATTTTTGGTTTCCTTGAGCTTTATCTAAGTTTCTGTTTTTAGAATTGTGTCAAATTAGGAAATAAGGATACTTTGATAAAATTGGGTTGTTGTTTTTATCTATGTAATTGTAGTGATGAAAAGGATCAAACTTTAGGACTACGGATCGTGATTATTAATTGACTGCAATTTCATTTGAATTTAACTTAATTTTTTTTTTTCTTCTGGGTTTGGGGTGCAGTGTGGTGTTGGAGGGTTGGTGAAGGCTGAAGGGGTGTCCTTTTGTAATGGGGAAGGGTTCGAAGATCAACTGCAAGTCAGCATCGCACAAGCTCTTCAAGGATAAGGCTAAGAATCGCGTTGATGATCTACAAGGGATGTTCTTGGATCTGCAGTTTGCCAGAAAGGAAAGCCGCACTGTTGATGTTGCAGTGCTTGAGGAGCAAGTCCATCAGATGCTTCGTGAATGGAAAGCTGAGCTCAATGAGCCCTCTCCGGCATCTTCTTTGCAACAAGTTAGTGCCATGCAGATATATTTTCTTTTGAATTACTTGTTTAAGTTAATATACATGTCCATGATCCTAAAAGTGTATGTGTTTGAACTTTGAAGTTCTTCAAAATGTCTGTTTGCTGCCAAGTGTATGTGATGGCTGTGGTTATAAACTGCTTCTAGTGCATGATGTGATTCTTGAAGTAATTGTACAAGTACAACTGTCATACTGTTTATGAGTGAACTGTTTGTATATTATAACTTGACAAATAAGTGGTTGAAATTTGTGATCATACAATCTGTAATTATTATTTTCATTTTCATGGATGATTTGCAGGGTGGTAGCCGTGGACCTCCTGGTTCATTTTCTTCAGACGTTGGTCGGCTCTTGCAACTTTGTGAAGAGGAAGATGATGCAACTAGTGCACTGGCTGCACCAAAGCCTGAACCTAATGATCAAAATCCACAAATTGCTGATACTGCTGTTTTCCAAGACGTGGGTTTCTTTCTCTCTCTTCTCTTGTTTGAGCTTTCTGTAGTTTCTATTAATTATAGTTTGCAGTCTTTGGTTTTCATTTTTCTTAGAGAATTTGCATGTTTGCCTAATTATAAGATTCTGGATGGAATAGCCCTAAGCCAAAAGATGATCTCTATGTTTTCTTGGAAGGCATTAGCAGTTGCATTC